TGCTGAAGCACATCACCGAGGACAGCAAGTCAACGCTGGACTACAATATCTTCATCATAAATAAGTTCCTGGTGAAGGAGTCCAACTCGTACTGGTGGAAGCGCCTTCGCGATGAGACCTTCGGCCACCAGCGGGTGCTCACTTCGACGCGGCCGATGCGCACCGAGCACATCACCTCCTTCTTCGCCAAGCTCTGGACAGCGGTGAAGCGGTGGGTGGCCTCTGTTGGACGCCTCCTCGACTGGTCCAACCTGGCGAATCGAAGTGGTTGAAGAGAAAACTTCGAATCAGAAAGTAGAAGTCCCGACACTTTTCGAAAAGTAGCGCGCAAACACTAGACCGCTGTGGAAGTAGCCAGTCATCTGAATGCACTCGAGTGGCTCGCTCGCGCCTCTGTTATTTTTCTCTCTCTCCTCTTTCACTTGCGCACACTTCGATTTAGGCTGCTGCGCAGAGAGCACGTAAGCAGCAGCAGTAGAAGCAGAGGAAGAAGAGGAAGGCAAGCAAGCACCTCAATCACCATCATCATCGTTCCCCGAAGAGAGCCAAAAGATCTGCTGAAGTGCTCCTCTTTGGCCAGATCACACACGATCAACTTTTAGAACTCCCGCAGCCCTCGACGCAGCCACAACAACTACACACAACCACGGTGAAGAAGAAGTTGCTGTTTTTTACTCACTCGCTCGCAGACACACACACGCAGACCAGAGCAGACCTTGTTACTGATTTTGATTCTGACTATTTACTGACTTACACCTCTTTAGTTGTGTTCCGTACCACAGTTTCTATTTCTTTCTTTCTCTCTCTCTCAAACCCATTATTTCAATCAAAAAATTGAGCTCATGTTCAATGCAATTTGTTTGATCTCGGGTCTCTCTTTCAAGATTTGTCAATGTCGCGAGTGTGTCTGTAACACAGTCCCTAAGAGGTAATGCCCACCAAGAAAAGCTAAACAGAACTGTTGGTCGTACACTTGTGATCCCTAAGAGACGAGATGAAGTGGGCGCGGTGGTGGTACGACAATTTTCCCTCTGTCCTCAGCCAAGCCCTGTCTGTCTGTCTGTGTCACCTCGGCGGCCATTGATTGCATGCCCACCATTCGTTTTGCTGGGATCGGCCACACCAGCAGTACAGCAGTAGCACCATTACCACCACCACCGCCGCCGCCGCCATCATCGTCACCTCCGACGCTGCAACGTTTTCTCTCTCCCTCTTCATCTCTATCAATCTCTCTCTCTCTCTCTCTCCTCTTTCAGTACCATTACATTGCATTGCCGCAGCAGCTACATTGTGTTAGTGCCACTTTCCTTGCCTGGAGATCCTGGCCTGGCCTGGCCTGGCACTCTGCTTGGCCTGCACACTAGCTAGCCAGCTCTGCTAACTCTTCTGCACTTCGATGGCTCTCGCCGTAGTCGTAGCCTTAGCAGCGGCAGCAGCCTGAGAGTGGCAAAGAGAGGAGCGAAGAGCGGAGACAAACAGCAGCACTACCAGCAGTAGTTGCAGATCGAGAGCGCTCTTTATTTTCTTCTTCTTTCCATGTCTCTCTCTCTCTCTTTCTGTCTCTTTCCATGCGTTCTCTATGCTCTTTCTACTTTCTTCCTTGATTGCGCTGACGTCTCCTGAAAATGCGTTGTTGTACCGCGAGCAGCCAGCCAGTCAGCCAGCGATACACAGCAAACTCTAAACGAGCAAACGTTTGCTTCAGCAGCAAATCACTTGCGGTGATCTAAAGTTCGCCCACTAATTTGTCCCCTCCTGTCCCCATTAGCACAGAGAACACCTACCTCTAACTGCCTTATCTCTTTTGGAGGTAGAACTGGTGCCTGGTGTCTGTTGTTCAGGTGTGTGTGTGTGTTACACGCTAGACAAAGTGCCTATTCCCCCTCTTTCTATCTCTCTATCTCTAAATGCCCACTCCCAACAAATATTGAAAGAGTGCGGTGTGTGTGTATTCTGTATTCACAGTCCCTCTGTTGATGCTTTGTTGCACTGTACTGCCCATGTCCCGAAAGTGATGAATGGCGGCAATCTAATCTCTCTCGCTTGTGACAGAGATGCCTAATTACTCCAGTGAAGAATAGTGAACCAGAAACGGCGGTCACGCCAGTTTTGATTGAAGATCCTCTCATGAAAANAGTGATGAATGGCGGCAATCTAATCTCTCTCGCTTGTGACAGAGATGCCTAATTACTCCAGTGAAGAATTGTGAACCAGAAACGGCGGTCACGCCAGTTTTGATTGAAGATCCTCTCATGAAAGGATCTAGGGCTACTCTGAGTTCGATTTCTATTTTAACCGCCGACACTTGGCACCTGTGTGGGTGGGGCGGTGGCAGAATCAGCCAAAGTCAGCCAATCAGATCACTTGATGACCCCACCACACTGTTGCCGGTAGTGCTGGTGGTGGTGGCAGTGGGTGTGAAAATAGAACTCTTATCTCTCACATTGTTCACGTACAAATCTTCTTATCTCTACCCGCCGCCGCGCGCAACCTTTGCCCATTCATCATTTGACCTCGGCGCCGCACGCACACACACACACACACTCACGTGCTCCAAACCAGTGCTTTACCTTTCACTCTTTACACACTTCACTTTTCGCTCGTCATGGCTCATTTCTAATTCCTCAATTCTCATCAGTGTGTTCTTCTTCTTTTCNTTTGCCCATTCATCATTTGACCTCGGCGCCGCACGCACACACACACACACACTCACGTGCTCCAAACCAGTGCTTTACCTTTCACTCTTTACACACTTCACTTTTCGCTCGTCATGGCTCATTTCTAATTCCTCAATTCTCATCAGTGTGTTCTTCTTCTTTTCTTCATCTCATTACAGTTTTTAATTTGGCATTCAACTAAGCAACCGGAACAACCGAGCAATAACAACAAATCGCCGAAGACAACAACAACTACTACTGCAGCAACCAACAACAGTTCGCCATACCTCATTACTCATCAGCAGCAATGGTAAGTCCTAGTCTAATTCAAAAGCATTCTTTGAAGGTGTCATTTATCAACTAATCAACTAATTCTAATCCCCTTTCTCAACAGCTGGCAACTCCCAGAGCCGAGGAGATACTAAACTCCTTGGGAACGTTAATGTTGAATGACACCGGCGGTGTCAACGGGTCACAGGTAGAAAATGAAACCTTCGAGTTTATAGTCAGGTAAGAGAAGTGGCTTTTTGGCTTCAGGGTTCTATTTCCTTCCGGGGAGAGGAGAAATAGAATTTCTAAATGCCACATCATTAGTTGTTCATCAAAATCTAAAACCGTTTCTATTTCGGCAAAGCAGATTAATGCTCGAGGCGGAGAAGCTGGTCAGAAAGTGCCTCTACTGTAAGGTGCTCGCCGCCACTGAGCCTATCTATTTAGAAAAGTAAGTGTCATTATTTCTACAATGCTCCAGCGGACCGAAGTGTTTAACAAACTAATTCTTTTNGAATTTCTAAATGCCACATCATTAGTTGTTCATCAAAATCTAAAACCGTTTCTATTTCGGCAAAGCAGATTAATGCTCGAGGCGGAGAAGCTGGTCAGAAAGTGCCTCTACTGTAAGGTGCTCGCCGCCACTGAGCCTATCTATTTAGAAAAGTAAGTGTCATTATTTCTACAATGCTCCAGGACAAACTCTAATTCCTTTGTTTCCACTCTGATACAGAATTCTCTCCGCCGGCGGCTGGGACGTGATCAACAGCTGGCTCGCAGCGGCGCTCAAGTCCTTTGACGAGGACCACCACCAGCACTTTCTGCAGGAGCTGCTCAGTCTGCTGGCGATGCTGCCGATGAACGTCAACCGCCTGAAGGAGAACGACACGCCGAAGATGCTCAACCTCTGGCTGAAGGAGAAGAAGAAGAAGCAGGGCAGCAGTGCGGCGGACTTTCCCACTGCCATCGTCGACATTGCCAATCAGGTGGTGAAGAACTGGAAGGACATTGTCACGAACGCTGCCAGTGGCGACGGAGGCGGTGGTGGCAAGGCCTCCAAGTCCTTATCAAATGCAAAGGAAAAGAAGAGAAAGAGCGCTGATGGTGGCTCGGGGGAAGGCGGGTCCTCAAAGAGGACCAAGCCATCCGCTTCCTCCTCCTCATCAGCTGGGCCTGCCACTACTACTAAATCATACGGCCCAAAGACGACCACAATCAGCAACAGTTACACAAACGTCAAGGGCAGCAGTAGACTGGCCCAGGAGCGAAAGTCAAAGTTGAAGGCGGTAGTTAAGAAGGAGGCGGCCGCTAAAAGTGATATTAAGGGGGCGGCCAAGTTGAGCACAAGCAGCAGCAGCAGCACCACAGAGTCAAAGGAGGTGGCTGCAGCTGCTAATGAGCAGGACAAGGTACTACCTGAAAAGGACATCAAGGACGACCCGGACAAGCCGAAGGTGATGACCACGAAGGTGAAGGCGAGCAAGTTTCGACTGGACTTTACCTCCTCCACGACGACCACTGCAGCAGCGACGAAGAAGAAGAAGACGGCGACGACGACGACAACTGGGACTTCCGGGACGGCTGATGCTCCAGCCACGGGAAAGGGGAAGGAAAATGAAGCCAAGAAGATCATCGCCAATGGCAAAAGCTCGATGGTAAGGAGTAGTTGTAATAGTAGTAGTAGTAGTAGTAGTAGTTGGAGTGCTCTGGACTAGTGTAATCATCTGTCCTCGACTGACGGCATTCTTTTGTGTCAAATTATAATGTAACAATTGTTCTTTTTTCCTCCACTTTCCAAACATTCCAAATGCTTCCTTTTCCCATTCCTCCACTTTTAGGCCGATTCCCCGATGAGCTTCATGGAGGCGCTCGATGGCTCATCAACAAACAGCAGCGGTGGCGGAATCAGTGCGGTAACCACGCTCAAAGCCAAACTAGGTAGACGAACGGGCGGCGGCGCCAATAAAGATATCAGTGAGCTTTTAGTTGGGGGTGGTAGGAGCAGCCGTAGCGACGATGTCGTCAGCGTTGGCGGCGGCGGTCTACTGCCGGCGGCTGTGGCAGCGGCGGCACTGTCCACCACCACCACCCACCTCCTCAGCTACAACAACCACAACAACAATAAAATCAGTCAGTCAGATAAGAGTCAACATATGCTGAACACTGCCACTACCACTTCCACTTCCACACATCACCACCAGGAATTGGGACTAGAAACAGGTGGAGGAGATAGTGGAGGAGATATCTAGGTTAGTAGTGAGCCCAGCAGCAGCAGCAGCAGCAGCTACCTAAGCTCGACAAGTCTGGGCGGATACGCCCCCGCAGACACCACCACTGCCTCAATGCTGGTGACGTCCTCGACGACGGCCACCTCCTCCTCCTCCTCGATCACAAAGAGCGATCCGATGGGAGTGACGTCGCCCGTCAAGTCTGCCGGCTTCAGCTTCTACAAGGACATTCTCGAAGAGCAGTCGACGAGCAGTGAAGCGCCGAACCCGGCTCAAGAGCAGCCGCTTGAAGAGTCCATGGCCGTGGATGATGCCGACGACGAGGAGGACAATGACCTGAATGAGACGATCAAGCTGAAGGCGGACACTTCGGAGGAGGCAATGGAGGCAGAAGAGGAAGATGGAGGGGTCGACTCAACGACGACCTCCACCTCGACGCAAGAGCTTCCGGTGGCTAAGCGGAGTTCGCTGGTGAACTCTGACGGCACTCCCCGCTCAATACTGAAGCTGAGTAAATCACAGTCAAAGAAGAAAGTGAGGTAAGTCTCGAACTATTTTTACCAACTTTTATATTCTCATTATCATCTCCATTTTTTTCACCTTTTAGCTGGACGGACGAGCGAAAGGTGCGCGACCTGGTGGAGGAGCGCCTCTTTGAGCTGGACGAGAATGAGCGCGTCAATGTGAACCGACTGAATCACGCGCAGCACGAGGCGATGAAGCGCTCGGATGCGCAAAATGAGAAGGCGATGATGGACGAGCAGAAGCACCGCCCGGAGGTGTTCGCTCCCTGGCGGCTGATTCCGATCGCCATTGACGTGCCCCACCAGGCGGCCGCAGTGGAGCACGGCTGCAAGTCGGTGGAGCGGGCGATTCAGGAGGAACGGCAGAAGACGACGTTGGAGTGCCGATTCTACGGGCGCCTGCCGGACACGCCCGCCGAGCCGGAGCTGGAGTTCTACGGACACCAGCGGGAGCCGACGAAGATCATACCGACGGAGGACGAGGCGACGCTGGCGGCGCAGCAGGCGCAGGCTGTGGCAGGGGTGGAGCCACTTCACCCACAGCAGCAGCAGCAGCAGATGGGCGGAATGATGGGCGTAGACCCCTTTGGCGGAATGGTTGATCCGCAGCAGCAGCAACAGCAGATGATTCAGCCTCAACAGCAGCAGTTTCCGCCCCCTGGAAATGATTACTACGGAGGCAATCCGATGATGAACAATGGCGGAGGACCGCAGCAGCAGCAGATGAACTTTGCCAACAATCAGGGCGGCAGATTCCCCGGAGATGGGCCACCGCCTCATTTCGGTGGTGTTCCACCTCTGCCTCATCAAGAGTCATTTAATGGTGGCGGACCGGGTATGGCCAATGGAGGAGGACATCACTTTCCAGGTGGCGGACCAAACACTCACAATCAGTTCAACCAGGGAGGAGGTCCGCCAAACAGCAGCAACTCCTTTGACAATGGCTACGGCTCGAATGGAAACAACAACAACTTTGGTCCGGGCGGACAAAATGTGGCCGCCTACACAACTTCAAACGGGGGAGGCGGGCCAATGTACAACGACTACAACACCTCGCCGCCGAACCCGATGTACAACAACAGCGGACCGCCGCCGAATCACCAGACTCCCGCCGGCGGGTACTTCAACCAGCCACCGCAGGAACTAGGCAACAACAACAACTTCAACAACAATGGCAATAACAATCACCAGTGGGCGAATGACGGTGGACCGCCCCCCGGCGGACCCTTTGCGCCCTTTGGCATGCAGCAGCAGCAGGCGCCACAACAATCGGGTCCTGGACCGCGATTCTTCGGCAACCGAGGCGGAGGTCGTGGCGGTCGCTTTAACAAGAAGGCCAAAAACGACGGCATCTGCCGCTTCTGGGCGAACACGGGCAAGTGCAAGTTTGAGGAGCGGTGCAACTTTTCCCACCACTTGCCCGGAGTTGGTCGGTAACTGGGGCCTGAACTGAATGGAATGGACTGAATGCTGTGATTGTCTCGTGATTCTCTTTGTCAAACTAGTGCTTCATCCTGTACAGAATCCTTCACCACCATCACCACCACCACCACCATCGTCATCACCCTCACCCTCATCACCACCCGTTAAACACCGCTTTCCTCTTCTCTTTTCTTCTCTTTTTTGGCTGTAAAGATTTATCTCGTCCACTACTGTTTACCATATTTTTTTTGTTTTCACCCCATCACCCACACACATCTTCTTGCTTTCTCCTTTACTCTCTATTTCTATTTCACCACAACCTCTCAACTGCTGTACCATAACTGTTTTCTATTTTGCATGCACTCTTTCACACACACACACACTCGCTTTATCATCACTGTCACACAGCCGAGCACTACTGTCGCCAACTGTGGATGNACTCTCTATTTCTATTTCACCACAACCTCTCAACTGCTGTACCATAACTGTTTTCTATTTTGCATGCACTCTTTCACACACACACTCGCTTTATCATCACTGTCACACAGGCGAGCACTACTGTCGCCAACTGTGGATGACAGGTTCACCTTTCTCCTTCTCGGTCGGTAAAGTAATTACCACAAACTATAATATATTTTTGCAAGCAATGAACAGACAATAAGATTTATATTTTTGGACTATCTCTATTCACAGCAGTACTTCTTGTTTCACAGATTAAAATACTTATCAGTAAAACATTTTTTCATAATTCAAAGTTGCATGTTCGTCTGGCTGACACCAGATGGCAGTAGGGGCTCCATAAACTTTATTTTCACGTTTTTCTGAACACGAGAAAAATAAAATTCATGGGCGATTTTTTTACGCCACTTTCAAGATGACGACGATGGTGGCGTTCCTAGCGGACAACTTCGAAAGATACCAACTTTTAATGATCAATTCTGTCAATTTTTTGAATGATCGTTTTTTGGTCCTGGAAAGTTGCAAAAAGTTCAAAGTTGCTTTAAATGAAAGCTAAAGACTTGTTACACAATCTGTATGTAAAATCCGCTATTTTTAACAACTTTTTAAATCTAATTTTAAAGTTTTTTTGCTACTTTTACAACACTAAAACTCGTCAAAACTAATTTATTTTACATACAGATTGTGAACCAAGTCTTTAGCTTTCATTTAATCAAAGAAGCAGCTTCGCTTCGACAAACATCACCTTCAGCTGTGCCTGACTGACGGGACTTGGCACGGGTATTCCGGCCCGGCGTATCTCCTCATAGCGGATTCGATCATTATCTATCATCAGCTGGGAATAGGCACGAGGGTAGTTGGTGGTCTGACGAATGTTTCGAAAT